GGCATTCAGCTCTGACCCGCTGCAGAGTGGGGAGGAGGGGGCTGGAGCTCCCTTCCCATGAGTAGCTGGCCCTGCTCAGCCTGGAGCAGAGCAAGGCTATCCCAGGACTCAAGGAGCAGATGGGCTATGGGCCCAGGGGCAGGGTGGGGGCTGGTCCCAGCTGAGAGTGAGGAGGAATTTTCTCTTTAACCCCCTATTTTTTCAAATTGTATCTCAAGCACCTCCTGCTCCTTTCCCTGCTTTATCTTCTCATGGTGCTTATGATTTCTAACATGCTATAAACATTATTAATTTTGTATATTGTCTGTGTCTCCTCACTAGAATATGAGCACACACATTTTTGTCTATTTTGTTCACCACTGTGTCTCCTCCAGAAGCATTGCTATTGTTTCTCCCAGGCTGAGCCATGCAGAAGTGGGTTAGGCTGATATTAGGTAGTGAGCTCCCCATCGGAAGAGGTGAGCAAGTGGAATCTGCCTGGCCACCTATCAGGCTTTCTGTGTAGGGGATCCCAGTATTCATCTGTGATCCTCTCATCAAGGTGAGAGCCAAAAGGGCCTCTAGATCAATGGGAGACCCCCTGGGTCTCCCAGGGCTTCGAGGGGCCTGCATGTCAGCCAGCTGGGACACCAGAGCTCTCCAACTGGGTCAGCTTCTGTTTATGTCCTCGTCCTGGCCCATCCTGAGCCTGGCCCCACCCCCGGTCAACCCTTGTCCAACCTCAACTCTCCCCCCCAGCATGAGGCCCTCATGTTTTGGAAAATCGACCGGCATCACACCAGACTGAAAATATCTCAAAATATCGCTTGTGACTTCCTCCTGTTCCTGAGGCCCCCCGCCTGGGCGGGCAGCAACCTTTCCCTCGCTGTTGATTTTCAAGAAAGGCTCTTCCATCGCTGGGACACAGGGAATTTCCAGTATTTTTCTTCCTCTGCTCTCTTTTTTTTTTTTTTTGGCCTTCAGACTCTTACATTGTGTTGTCCTGACGCAGCTCAGGCAGTGTTTGGCCCCAGAGGCCTGGGCTGGGTCAGCGAGGCTGGACCAGCAGCCCCGGCTCCTTGGGCGCAGGAACAATGCCTCCATAATTCACTGAAAACTCCCCTCGGATGACTTTTTCCTGTTGCTGATTGTCTCCGTGGTCCAGGCCCGCACAAACTGCTTTTTCCTGCAGCTAAATTTAAAAGAGCCAGACCTTGGAAACAGTGCCCCGGGCTGGCCTCGCTGTAGGGGCAGAGTTGGGGTAGGCTAAGTAGACGCAGAGCCCACCAGCCTGAAATATACACATCGACAAGTGGCCGCAGCCCTGTCCTCATTTTATTCTGCAAACCACCTTAGAGCCTCTCCAGCTACAGTCACAGACCTTGGAGTTCAGAAAAGCCTCCTGGTTCTGTAGAGGTCAGAGAGGCCCCAGGTGCTATCCCAGAGCAGGGCAGCAGGCAGGTCTGGGGGTCCACAGGGCAGCGTCAGACCTCGCCAAGCATTGGATTCACAGGGTGAGGAAGAGGAGCTTTGTCTCAGGCAGAGTGGAGCAGGGAGGGCACAGGCGGCCAGAAGGAGTGAGCCCCTTACCACTGGGGGTTGCAAAAAGAAGGGGCATGGCACCCCTGTAGCCATGGGGTTGGGAAAGGCACAGTTCTGAGGCCCCCACCTCCGTTCATCTCCCCCCCCTTCCCACGTGGCTCTTTCTTGAGGCCTGGGGGCCCAGCCCGGCACCACTATCGGTGTCACCCTGGATCAGCTGCCCGTCCGCCAGGGGACCTCACCAGCCCTGTCACCTCTCAGTGTCGGTCCCCATATCCCAGGGCTGCTGAGCGGCAGAGGGCAGACAGATGGCCCGCAGAGGGGGGCCTCGACGCGGGAAGCCCTGGCAGACGGGCAACTACGCAGCGCTGCTCCGGACCCCTAAGGACCAGGGTGGAAGGAGTGAGGTCAGTGTGAGTGTGGGCAGGTTGCGCCATGTGGAGACGCCCCCCAGTGGACTGGGGACCACAGGACACGGACCTGAGGCTCTCAGACGGTCCAGAGCCCAGCGAAGTTGGCGGTGGGGGGAGCAAAGGTTGGATCCCACCTATTCCTACTTCCTAGAGGAAACGGCCAGGTGATGAGAAGGAAGAAGGGAGCAAATATCACAGACAGAGGCAGACACAGCACGTGCCCCAAACAAAATGACAAACCTCACAGCAACCCTACAAACACACTAATTAAGAGACGTTTCCCAATTGCTGGGTATTTACACATCACCTCAATGATGTTTGTCACGTTTATTTATTGAATGTCCATTACTAGACCCATTCACATTTTCAACTTAGATGTATTTAAAAGAAACTTTGATCACTGTTTAATTTGCCATACGTACAAGGTCACAGTAGACTGGAGAGACAGAACGTAAAGCGACATTGCTAAATTCAAGCCAAACACTTGCCTGCAAAGGCCCTGAGCTTCAGACCCCATCCCTTGGTTAAGAAGGGAGATTAGCAAGTGTCAGAGAGGTTTTAAAGATGGCGTAGCACCCACCCAAGACTCTCCTTGATGTAATGGGAGGGCAGGAAGAGGATGGAAGGAGTACCTTTCTCACGCTGTGCCCTGTCTGCTTCCACCTAAAATGAATTGCTTACAGCTGGTGACACAGCTGACAAGTGTCCTTGAAAGTACTAGCGAGGTGAGAATCCCAGCCATCCTCGGGGAGTCCCCTCCTGACCTCCCTCCCCACACGACCCCCAGGCCAGCTTGCAGAAGGGTCCCGGATCTCAGGCTGGGAAACCCCAGGATCTGGTCATACCCCAACTGTCAAGGTATGTGATCCTTTCTGGAACCTCCTTTACAGCTTGCACCTCAAGTGCCTCACGTCTCCGAAAGCTCCTCCCTGAGCAGAGAGGTCCCCTTCCTCCTTCTTTCACCTGCACAGGTGACATGCCGCACGGGAACCTGGGGGAGGTGGCATCAGTCCTCTCCACCTAGGTGACTACAGGGCATCTCTAATGAACACAAACCTAACCAGTTCCTAATCCCCACCCCCAGGCAGGCTCCTCTTGCAGCCTCCCCAACTGCAATAGCATCTCCATCCTTCCAGAACACTGGAGTCATGTCCACTGTCCCTCTTCTCTCCTCAGCCCAAATCCAATCTGTTAGGAAATCCTGTTGGCTTCCAGATCTTCAAAACACATCCACACTCTCCCTGCGCCCACCTTGCCCCAGATTGTTCTTCCCAGCTTTGGAGGAGGAGAGACCCAGGTTAGTATTTGTGGGGAAAATTGTTGCTTTTTATTTTTTCTGACATTCTCCTCTCCTTCCCTGTTTTTTTCTTTTCCCCTCTGTCTCTCTTTTCCCATTTCCAGTGTTTTAATCTCTGTCCTAAGCACAAGCTTTGTAGTCAAAAGGCTTGAGTTCAAATCCTGGCTCTGCCATTTACTGTGCATTTTGGGGCAAGTTACTTGACTTTTTGGTGTCTCAATTTCCACTTCTAAAAAATGAAGAGAATAGAAAAGCAAAGTCAGAGATACTACCCAAGGCCAATACTTATTCTAAAGCTACAGTAATCAAGACAGGATGGTACTGGCAAAAGAACAGACAGATCGGTGGAACAGAAAAGAGAGCCCAGGAACAGACCCACAAAGATAAAAACTGATCTTTGACAAAAGAGCAAAGGCAACACAATGGGGAAAAGACAGTCTTTTCAACAAATGGTGCTGGGACAACTGGGCAACTATGTGCAAAAAAAAAAAAAAAAAATCTATACACAGATCTTACACCCTTCTATAAAAATTGACTCAAAATGGATCACTGACCTAATGTAAACTGCAAACTATACAACTCCTAGAAGATAACACAGGAGAAAATCTAGATGACCTTGGGTACGGTGATACCTTTCTAGATACAACACTAAAGGCACTATTCATGAAAGAAATAACTGATAGGCTAGACTTCATTAAAATTAAAAACTTCTGCTCTGCAAAAGACAATGTCAAGAGAAATGAAAAGATAAGTCACACTGGAGAAAATATTTGCAAAAGACACATAAAGGTCTGTTATCCAAAATACACAAATAACTCTTAAAATGTAACAACAAAATGAACAACCTGATTTAAAAATAGGCAAAAGACCTGAACAGACACCTCACCAAAAAAGATATACAGATGGCAAATAAGCATATGAAAAGACGCTCAAAATTATATGCAAATTATATGAAATTATGAAAGTGTAAATTAAAACAACAGGGACTTCCCTGGTGGCGCAGTAGTTAAGAATCCTCCTGCCAATGCAGGGGACACGGGTTTGAGTTCTGGTCCGGGAAGATCCCACATGCCGCGGGGCAACTAAGCCTGTGCGCCACCACTACTGAGCCTGCGCTCTAGAGCCCATGAGCCACAACTACTGAGCCCGTGTGGCACAACTACTGAAGCCCGAGAGCCTAAAGCCTGTGCTCTGCAATAAGAGAAGCCACCACAATGAGAAGCCCGTACACCGCAACGAAGAGTAGCCCCCACTCGCAGCAACTAGAGAAAGCCCGCACGCAGCAACGAAGACCCAACACAGCCAAAAATAAATAAATAAATAAATAATAGATTATGATTATATGAAGGAAATGATTAAAAAACAGCAACAATAATGAGATAACACTTCACGCCTGTCAGAATGGCCAAAATGCAGAACACTGACAAGACCACTAAATATGGAGCAACAGGAACGCTCATTCATTGCTGGTAGGAATGCAAAACGGTACAGCCAGTTTGTAAGATAGTTTGGTGGTTTCTTACAAAACTAAACATACTTTTACCATATGGATTAGCAATCACACTCCTTGGTATTTTCACACATGAGTTGAAAACTTATATTTTCAAAACATAAATGAAAACCTTCACATGGATATTTATAGCAGCTTTATTCATAACTGCCAAAACTTGGAAGCAACTAAGTCCTTCTTGGGTGAATGAATAAACTGTGGTCCATCCAGACAATGGAATATTATTCAGTGCTAAAAAGAAATGAGCTACAGGACTTACCTGGTGGTCCAATGGCTACGACTCCACACACCCAACTCAGAGGGCTAAGGTTTGATCCCTGGTTAGGGAACACATGCCGCAACTAAAGATCCCGCATGCTGCAACTAAAAAGAAAAAAAAGAAAAATCCTGCATGACACAACTAAAGATCCTGCACGCCACAAGTAAAAGATCCTGCATGTCGCAGCAAAGCTCCCACACACAGCAACAAAGATCCCACATGCCACAACTAAGACCTGACGCAGCCAAATAAATAAATAAATATTTTTAAAAAATATATTTAAAAAATAAAAAGCATTAGTACATTATAGCATTAATACCATAGTTAAACTCTGAACAGCAGGGACACTGACATAACAAAGAGTAAAAAGAACAGAAATGAGCTACCAAGCCATGGAGGAACCTTAAATGCATATTATTAAGTGAAAGAAGCCAATCTGAAAATGTTACAAACTGTATGATTCCAACTATACGACATTTTGGAAAAGGAAAACCCCCGGACAGCAGGGCTTGAGGGGAGGGAGGGATGAACAGGTGGAGCACAGAGGATTTTTAGGGCAATGAAACTACACTGTGTGACACTATAATGGTGGATACACATCATTACATCTTTGTCCAAACCGACAGAATGTGCATCATTGAGAGTGCACCCTAATGTAAACTACTGGCTTTGGGTGATAAAGATGCATAAGTGTAGGTTCACCAATTGTAACAAATATACCACTCTGGGGGCCGATGTTGATGGTGAAGAAGGCTGTGCTTGTGTGTGTGGTGGGGACCGGGTGGGAATAGGGAGTAAATGGGAACTCTCTGTACTTTGGGCTCAGTTTTGCTGTCAACCTAAAACTGCTCTAAAAAGCAGAGTCTATTTTTTTAAAAATTGGAGAGAACGAGAGTCCCTTCCTCCTGGGCCTAATGTCAGGCCTTAACGGGGGCATATGAGGACGGCTCCCAGTGCAGAGTCTGCAAGAAGTCCATTAATTTGGAGACCAAAGGAAACACAGGGTGGGGGCTTCTGATTGGGCAAAGTCATCCTCAACATATGGCGGGAGGTGTAGGCTGTGGAGGGCTGTGCACACACGGACCTGCCTCTGGGGACTCTGGCTTTTCCTTTTCCCCTCAGGATCCTCTCTTCCGATTTACTAAGAGCAGCCCCCCTGCACCCCGAATTCTTGCTGTAGACAGGTCCTGTCCCAGTCCTCAAATCCAGTGGCTTTCAGCTTTTTGTGACCCATCTCCCAGGGAAGAAAGACGTTTTACATGAGGATTAAAAGAGCCAACAGCCATGGCGGCTCCACATTCCCTGAGCTCTCCCGAACCCCTCCTTCGTCTCTCACAATGACCGAGGTGTGGGTGCTACTCTTCTCCACGAACAGATAAGGAAACAGAGGCCTGGAAGGTGGCACAATGCATCCGAGGTCACGGGCCCGGGCAAGAGGGCTCGGGCCCAAGGCCCACCTTGAGTGCAGTTTTTGGCCACTGCACTCAAGGTGACTGAAATAAAGCTTGTGGCTTTATTATCTGCAATGCACCCTATTTTCTATTCCAGTTCTCTTTTTAAAAATGCAGAACACAACTCATTAAATGGATTTCACAGCTCACTAGTGGGTGTTCACCTGCAGGTCCTTGGCAGCATGTGTTGGTTCTCTGAGAGCCCAAGTGCCTGGGGTGCACCCACTGGGTCCTCCCCAACCTGTCAGCACCCCTCCCAGCTCCCCCCTCCCCACTTCGCTGTCCTCCAACCCCACAGGGCCAGGAACAGAACGACCCAACTTCTCTCCCACCTGTGAGCTGACAGCTCCGGGGCAGCTCACAGTCCCTGTAGCCCCAGAACTGGGGAAGCCAGGGAGGGCGCCTATCCCCATCTCCCTGGTGGGGAATGTCATTGTGATGCAGCTGGCGAAGGAGCTTCTGCCTAGAGGGGCTTTCATTTCCGCAGTCTCGAGCTGTGGGGCGGGAGGAGATGGCTCAGAGATAGGGAGCTGCTGTTGGGCTGGTGCTTTATTCGTGCTCCCCAGCAGCCAGCCAAGCTCCTTAACCCTTGATGGAGCTGGAGACTGGGAGACAGCCAGCAGTGGGCCTTGCACTGGAGCTTGGCATGGGGTGGGGGCTCTTCAATCACCTAGTTATTAATAAATAGTTATTCTCATTCACGTTTGCTGAGCATGAGCTGAGTCTTTCCTCTGCATTATCATACAGAATCCATCCACAGACCTGGAAGGTTGTTACTGTGATTTTCCCCACTTTACAGAGGGGGAAGTGGAGGCCCAGGGACCAAAGTTGCTTGCCCACTGTCCAAAGGCTTGGACAGGAGGAGCACAGGGTTTTGTTTTTTGAAGGGGGAGACACTTTCAGGTTCTGGGGGAGGGATGTCAGGGGCCTCAGCAACTGGGAGCCTTGGATTTATCCTGCATCTTCCAGAGACCTCCTGGGCTCTCAGCAGAGAGGCTCCATCCTCTCTCATGCAAACCCCCTGCTCTGTCTTTCTCCTGCCTCAGTTTATTCCTGGCATTAATGCCGCTGTGCTGTGCATCTCATGCTGGTTCTCATCCACTCGAGCTGTGTGTTTATGACCCCCACGTCGCTGTGCGTGCAACCTGGCCCACTGCTTCTCACTGTGAGAAGTTGACTTTATGTGTTGTTCCTGTGTCCAGCATCTTGGTGAATCCATATTAGTTGTTATTTGTCTATTGATTCTTGGTTGGTTGTTCCATGCAGATGACTGAATCACCTGCAAATAATGGATGTTTTTATAATTTCCTTTCACATCCTTGTATCTCTTTGCTATGGACATTTGTGTTTCTCCCCAAAGTTTATACACTGGAGCCCTAACCCACAATGCAATGGTATTTGGAGGTGGGCCTTCTAGAGGTAAGCAGGTTTAGATGGGGTCATGAGGGTGGAGCCCCCTAAGGAGATTGGGGCCCCTGCGAGAGGAAGAGACCAGCGATCTCTCTCTGTGCGCACACACCAAGTAGGGCCAAGCCCAGGAAGAGGGCCCTCACCAAGAACCCAACCATGTTGGCACCCTGACCTTGGACTTCCAGGCTCCAGAGGATGAGAAATAAATGTCTGTTGTTTAAGCCATACACTCTGCGGTGTTTTGTAAGAGCAGCCTGAACTGACTATGACACTCTTATTTCTCTTTCTTTCCACATAGCGTTCAGGATTTCTAATACAGTGCTGTTGACTGTAGTATCCTTATCTTGTTCCTAACTTTACGGAGAATGCATTACAGTGTCTCCACTCAGAAAAATGTTTGCTGCAGGATTAAAAATAATTTTTTGAGGTAAAATACACATAGAAGTTGCCATCTTAGGCATTTTTCAGTGCACAGCTCAGTGGTATTAAATACATTCACATTGCTGTGCAGCCATTTTCACCATCCATCCTCATAACTCTCTCCACCTCGTAAAACTGAAACTGTCCCCGTTAAACACTAACTCTCCATTGCCCTCCCCATAGCCCCTGGCAACCACCACTCTACTTTCTGTCTCTACCATTTTGATTTCTCTGAGTACCTCATATGAGCGGAATCATGCAATATTTGTGTTTCTGTGACTGGTTCATTTCACTCAGCTTAATGTCCTCAAGGTTCATCCATGCTGTAGCATATTGCAGAATTTCCTTCCTTTTTAAGGCTGAATGATATTCCATCATGTGTACAGACCACAACTTTGATTATCCATCACCTGTCAATGGGCCCTGGGGTTGCTGCCACATTTCAGCTATTGTGAATAATGCTACTATGAACATGGGTGTACAGGTGTTTTTTGGAGACCCTGCTTTCAATTCTGTTGGGTATGTACCTAGAAGTGGAATTGCTGGAATATATAATTCTATTTTTAATTTTTTGAGGCACCACTATACTATCCCATAGCAGCTGTACCCTTTGACATTCTCAACAAGAGTAAACGAAGATTTCAATGCTTCCACATCCTCACCAACACTTGCTGTTTTCTGGCTTTTTGATAGGAGCTCTCCTACTGGGTGTGAGGTGGTATCTTGTAGTTTTGATTTGCATTTCCCTAATGATTAGTAAGTTGAGCATCTTTTCATGTGCTTATTGGACATTTGTATGCCTTCTTTGGAAAAATGACTATTCAAGTCCTTGGTTCAATTTTGAATGAGGTTCTTTTAGATATTCTCTATATATTCTGGATATTAATCCCTTATCGGATATATGATTTTCAAATATTTTCTCCCATTCTGTGTACTGACTTTTTACTCTGTGAATAGTGTCTTTTGATGCACAAAGTTTTTAAAATTTTCATGAAGTCCGATTTGTCTATTTTTGCTTTTGTTACGTGTGCCTTTGGTGCCATATCTATGAAATCAGTGCCAAGTCCAATATCATGATGCTTTTGTCCTGTGTTTTCTTCTAAGAGTTTTATTTTTTTAGGCCTTACATTTAGGTCCTTGATCCATTTTAAGTTAATTTTTTAGTATGGTGTTATGGAATGGTCCAACTTCATTCTTTTGCATGTGGATACCCAGTTTTCCCAGCACCATTTGCTGAAAAGACTGTTCTTTCCCCATTGAATGGTCTTCTCACCCTCATTAAAAATCATTTGACCATATATGTGAGGGTTTACTTCTGGGATTGCTACTCTATTCCATTGGTCTATATGTCTATCATTATGCCAATACCACACTGTTCTGATGACTGTAGTTTTATAGTAAGTTTTGAAATCATGAAGTGTGAGTCCTCCAGTTTTGTTCTTTTTCAAGATTGTTTTGGCTATTCAGGGGTCCTTTGAGATTCCATATGAATTTTAGGATGGGTTGTTCTATTTCTGGAAAAATGTCATTGGGGTAATAGGAATTGCACTAAATCTTACATCACTTTGGGTAGCACTGACATATTAAGTCTTCCAATCCATGAACGTGGAATGTGTTTTCATGTATTTATGTCTTTAGTTTCTTTCAGCAAGGCTTTATAGTTTTCATTGTATAGGTCTTTCGCCTCTTTGGTTAATTCCTAAGTGCCGCATGTTATTCTTTTTAATGCTATTGTAAATGGAATTGATTTTATAATTTCCTTTTCAGATTGTTCATTGTTAGTGTATAGAAATGCAACACTTTTGCATTTTGACTGTATCCCG